ATGTGAACATTGGCATTTTATTAGTTACATTGTATAAAAATTATTTTGAAAAAAGACCAGGTGGATTTGGTTTAGGTTTAAAGAAGGTGAAACACTGGAAATAACATTTTCTTTTTTCCCCAACATCTCTTGCTTCAATTGAGTAGCTGAATTCCATGGCCTGTGTAGCAGTGGAATAGGTATTACTGTGGATGGACGAGGTATGTTGCACATTTTCTTTAATGTATACGATTCAAGGTTAAAAAAAATATACTCAGAATTATATTTTTTTTTAACATACTAGGGTGAACTTTTTTGCCTCAAGATTAATATGTTGATTTTCGTATTTTCATTATCAAAGTACAGTATTTAAATGTTGTCTAAAGAAAAGGCCAGAATTCATTCTGTACAACATTGGATTTTGACTGACCCTGACAAGAAAAAAGAGTCATCCATTTTAAAGGTTTGCCCTATAATTTTTTTTTTTTAGAGTAGGCATAAGACAGTTCTCCCTCATTTGGGGAATGACAGGAGCCACTTGCATTTGCAGTTGATTTTCAGTCAGCTGGGATAGTAATAGAGCAGTTTTCAACTCCAGATCCAGTGTTCACTACATGGACCTTTTCCATGGAGGAATGGTTTCTCTGATGAGTTGGAGTTGGAAGGGAGCTTACTACAAAAATATCCTCCTAAAAAAAGTCCTGAAAGTGAGCACTTGCATTTAGTACCGGGAACTGTAAAGCTCCAGCTCCTTTTTCTAGCACCGCAGAGAGAGGGATTTTAAAAATAATAGCTGAGCCAGGCCTGAAGTAGGGGCAATGCATGCCGCAGCTGCCAAATAAGTAGAGTGGGTTGAAGAAGGAATTGTGGAACATAGTATTGTGATTTATTGCTAGATAGTTCCCTGATGAGTTAATAAAGTTGCAGCCAAATTAAAGCAGATACTGTACATTTAATATTTCCAGGCATTTAATTTATATAGCTTTTCTCCTTGTCAGCATTAAAGCTCCTGTTCAGTTCAGCA